TAGAATAGTACTGCTCATAGGCAGTGGTGTTCAAATGTTTGCTCTTTGCTCTTGCTGCTAATACAATGCATTCAACTGCTTCATTCTGGAATCTGAGTAGCAAAGGAACAGGGAAGTTTCTGTAGCTCCCTCCTTGCAACTTTTTCTGTGGTCAGTAAAAGCCAAAATTCTTTATGCTAACTCAAGTCCTCAGGAACTGTCTATATATAATATTTGAAGAACTCATTTGATTTGGAAGGAATTTATGATAATAGAAGAACCTTTATTTTTTATTCTGCCTTGCTGTTTTTTATTTTTAGTTAGGAAAAAGACAGTGGTTCAGTTCAGGTTTAATGAAGGTAATTATTCTTACTCTCTTGTTTTCAGTATTCACCTTAACTCCTTTTAACAATAAATAACTGCTTGTTTATTGGGGCTTAGGGACAGGGAGTAATTGCAGGAAAAGTCCCCATCAGGATTCTGGAGAGGGAAAATATTTTCTGATAGAAAAATTTGACTGAAAAAAATTCATATTTAAGTAAAGTCCTTTTTGGTGGTTTTTTTTTTTACTTGCAGTATTTGTTAAAAGCCAAATTACTCTATTAAAATATGCCCTTATTTAAATTGAATGATTGTGTATTTTAATTACTATTTTAATATAGTTCATGCTTTTTGAAATAACATTCAAACAAAAAAGAATGAAAAGTTTAGAAAATGAGTTTGCTTTGATCCTATTCCCTAGTCCCTGCCTGTACTCATGGAGAATGTCTGTTTTGTGTATGTCTCTTTCCAGAGACATACACCTTTTTCTACATACCTATATATACAGGTTTTAAAAAAATCAAATGGCATATGTTAAACACATTATATATTATATACAATGTTCTATGACTTTTTTAAACCACTTCTCATGTGTGTCACTACATAAATATTTACTTATTTATTTTTAATATTCCCTTGGTTGGATGTGCTATAATTCATTTCACTGTTTCCCTGTTGATAAATATTTAGATTAGTATTTCCAGTATTTAGTTACAGGTTCATTCAAGAAATGTTTATTGACTTCTAGGAAGTACTAGTGAACAAAATACAAAAATTCCTGCTCTCATGTAGTTATCTTAATTTTGAAGGTGGACAGACAGTAAACATATAAAGTAAATGTGTCAGATGCTATTGCAGACTGTAAGGTAGAGAAGAAGGGGAGTGCTGGGTGTGATAGGAGTTGTGTGCAGTTTAAAATAGGATAGTCGGGAAAAGTTTACCAATAGGTGACATGTGAGTTGAGATCTGGCAAAGGAGAAGTAATGAGCTCTGAACTGGTGAGGCACAAGCATTCTAGGAAGGGGAGAAGAGGTACATGAAATACAAGCCCTGAGGTAGGGGCATGCTTGATGTGGAAGGGAAAAGCATGAGGCCATGGTGGTTAGCGCAGAATGAGCAAGGGATAGAGTGGGAGAAGATGAGGTTGCAGAGAAGGCACCAGAGTCAGGGCTTTTTGGGCCACTTTAAGGACTTTGCCTTTTACTGAGTGAGCTGGCAAATCTTTGGAAGTTTTCAAGCATCAGTGTGATATAATCTGGTTTATATTTGGAGTGACTATTCTTCTGCTTTTTTATAATGAACTATTGGAAGGAAACAAGCAGGCCATTTAGAGAGGCTATTGCAACAATCCAGGGAAGACACAATGATGGTTTGGACTAGCTTGGACCAGAGTTGTGGCAGTAGAGGTATTAGGATGTGGTTAGATTATGGATATATTTTAAAGGTAGGGTGAGAGAGGAGTCAAGGACCACTGTGTAATTTTAGATCTGAGCAATTGGAAAGGTGGACTTGCCATGAAATGAGATGGGAAGACTATGGTAGGCAAGACTAGGAATTTGGCTTTGGGCACATTACTTTTGAGAGTCTATTAACATCCAACTAGAGGTAATGAGTAAGTAGGCATTTGGCGATGTAAATGTGGAGTTCATTTGAGAGCTCAGGGCCAGAGATATGAACCTGGGAGTCATCAGTTTATTAATACAGTTTAAGCCCTGAGCTTACCTAGGGAGTAAATTAGAGAAGAACAGAGAATCAAGGATAGTCCTGGGCCCTTCATGGTTAAGAGTCTGAGGAAGTGAGAAAGATGCAGCAATGGAGATCAAAAAAGCAGCCTGTGAGCCAGGGGGGAAACCAACAAAATATGATGTCCTGAGAACCAAACGAAGGGAGCCAGCAGGGTCAAATAATGACAGCTGAGAATTAACCATTTAATTTAACATTGTGGCTGTTTGGGTGTCTTTGACAAAAGCAATTTTGAATGAGAAGTAGGGGCCTAATTGAAGTAGATTCAAGAAAGAATGGAAGGAGAAGAATTGGGACTGGTAGTGTAAGCAACTCTTTTGAGGAATTTGTTCTAAAAGGGAGATAGAAAATGGGCTTTAGTTAGAGAGGAATGTGAAGTCAAGATGTTTCTTTTGTTTCTTGTCCAAGATGGAGAAATAAATATTTAAAGCTTATAGGTAATGAGCTTGCAGAGCGAAAAATTGATGCAAGAGAAATTGGAGGAAATTCAGAGATTTGAGGAATCCATTTTCTTTCATATGCATGTACACAGGGATTTCTGGAGGCCAGATTCTTAAGAGGATTTCCTGAGTCAAAGGGTATGTGCATTTGAAAAAACTACCAATTCATATTCCATTTTTAGTGTATACTCTTGATAACATTGAACTTTGCTAGTCTTTAAAATTATTGCCAATCTGATGGGTTTTATGCTTTGTAGAAACTCTATATAATCTAACTAATGCTTTGTTAGGTTTTAGCAAATATTTTCTCCCAGGCTGTTTCTTGCCTTCTAACTCTGCTTATGGTATAGTTTTGCCATGTAGATGTTTTTTCAGTTTTTCTGTAAAGTCTGTCATCCATTTCCTTTTATAGCATTTGGTTTTCATTTGGATTATATAAATACTTTATATAATCTTTTAATACATTTATATGTGTATCTTTTTAGTTTTAGTTCATTTGGAGTTTATTTTTGTGTATGTTAGGAAATAGGTATCTAAGTTTCCTGTCTTTTTCTATGTTCTTAAACAGTTAAATACCGTTAAGAATTAACTGTTTCTTGAAGGTTTGGAAGAAATTATCTATAATATCTTCTGAGCTTGGATCCTTTTTGGAGGGTAGACCTTTGACTTTTAAATTTTTTCCCTGTGCTTAATGATCTATTTGGTTTATGTACTTCTTTTTACATTAATTTTGGTAATTAATTTTTTCCCCGAACACCTCATTCTTCCAGATTTTCAAGTTTACTGGTTTAAAATTATCCATAAAGGGAAGAAATACTGTCTTCTCTATATTGGCAGTATATCCTTTGTATTTACACCTTTATCTGGGCAGCAGATGTTGGAGCCACCCTTTCACAGCTCTGGAAACTGGTTTAGCTGTTTTCAGTCCTCATGGTCCATGTCTTACCGCCCTTCATCTTGGAGTTATTCCTAGATTCTCCCCTTTTATTCATAAGGGATTGCAGGCTCCTTGGCTCTGTTTCCTATCTGGCTGACCCCATTTGCTTTTTAGCTTACAAATACTTCTACTGTTGAGGTCTGCTGATGGGTATGTACCCTTATTGGCTTCCAGCATTACTATGTACTTACTTTTATATTTCTTCTACCATTTTGGAGAGATTTAGGGAGGAAGGAGAGACAAATATGTATCTTCAGTTAGCCTTTTGAAGTGGGAAGTCACAGTTCTGTCCTGTGTGGTTTTCCTTGTCAGAGTCCTCTCTCTGGTAGTTGCACAGTAGTGGAATAGTAACATAACACATGTAGTGATAGTCAGATGGACTTCACTTTCTTCTTAAATGAAACCAGATGTCTAAGTGGAATATAGTAGTTGAGTAGAAATGTTGATATATTGTGACTAAATATTCAAATACTACGTTTTAAACTTAAATTATATAGTTGTAACATTAGATCATTAAACCAACTTCCTTTTTTTATGGTTGAGGTATTTGAGGCCCAGAGGCATTCAGTGATTTATGTAAGGTGACATAGTCAGTGCTCAAGCAAGACACAAAGCCCGGATCTCTCTTTACTTCAGTTCTGCTATGCTCTTTGCTGTTTCATACATCTTGCTGTTTTACTTTACTGTGTAACGAAAGAGATATTTTCAGCTAATAAAAAAAATTGTTTTAAACCTAAAGGTGGTATGTATGGCTTGGAATTACTTCTGTGATCTGGTCTTAGATACCATATTTAATAAATTGATGTACATTTTGCTTTTTTCACATAGATATTAAATATTATGACATAAATGTGAATTTTAAAAGAATGAGCTGTCAAGGTATGTTCTAGCCTAGATGGAAACCATATAGTTTATTTCTCCCAAGTTTCTTCTTTTATGCTTATAGACTTTATGTGATTTATGGCCTCTTTGAATTTCTTATTAATATTTTAAAGATGCTTAAGAAATATACATAAATATAGGCTTGAAAAATGATTTTTATGATAAATAACATATTTCAGACTAGGATTTCTAATTTTTTAATTTAATATACTATGCTGCTAGATCACGACATTTACGAGGCCCAGAGACAGTCAGTGGTTTATCTAAGGTGACAAAATTTAGACATGTTAAAATATATGTTTTTCCAAAAAAGAAATTTGCTCATCATTTTTTTTTGACAAGCATTAACCATACTTTCATTGCTTTGCTTGGTCTTAACTTCAACAAAGTCTTTTAAATGAAAGATTTTTATTATTGATATTCCATGTTTTGTAGTCATGTCTTTAGTTCTTGAAAAGCATTGAGGATTTGGTATGTGTTGCCTTAGAGGACGTGGATGGGACTCCTCCCCTCACACCACCCCAAGCAACTCAAAAAGAAAGGAAATTTGAATGTAATTGCTATAGGATTATATTCTAAGGAGATTTGTTTAATTATCTTCAGGTTTGAACTTCTTTAGTTAATGTTGAAATATGTGGTATGACTATTGATTTTTTTTTTTGGTAACCTAAAGAGTAATGAGTTTAATATTTTTCCAGTTGGTCATAATGGCAGAAGAAGAAATTAATGAAGATTATCCGGTAGAAATTCATGAGTATTTATCAACATTTGAGAATTCCATTGGTGCCGTGGATGAGATGCTGAAGACTATGATGTCTGTTTCTAGAAATGAGTTGTTGCAGAAGGTATTTTAAAAATGTAATTTCTGAAAATGTAATTCATAAAACAGAGTGCAATGTTCTGAAACATATAGAAGAAGATATAGATTAATGATAATATGCTCCTTTCCTCTATTTCAATTTTATAAGTATTTGGATATCTTGAGGGAAAAAAACAAAACAGAAATCCAACCTCAGTAAATATTTCCTAATTATAATTTTATTTTGACTTGGTTTTGAAAAAAAGGAGCACATTCTTTGACAGACTTTATCTTTGACCTTTTATGCATTTCAGTGATGTTATCAGGGTTTCTGGAAACCCTGTAGGACAAAAAGAGTAAATTGACTTTGACAGTCTTAAACAAATCTCATTATGTTTCTTTTGTCTTTGGTATTGCCTAAGCATTTTAGCCTGCTTCTTTATACATAAATGCCTCATGTACAATGTTTATGTTGACAAATTACTTTTGACATACACAGCCCAGATCATAACTACTGAAATCAAAATAATCCAAAAGAATTTTTCTTGGATTATACACATTCCTTGTCTAACTGAAGATGGTACCCTGAAGTGAAAATCTGTGGGCAAAAATCACTGGTTAACAAAACATCTTCATACTACACATTATTTCCAGATCGTTTGGTTATTGAATTATAGGAAGTGAAAAAGAAAAGGAAATTTCTTTGATACATTGTGTTTGGTGAAAGTTTATAATATTATGTAATGGTGCTCAAAGTCTGTGTGTTTTTTCTTTCTTTTTTTTTTTTTATAGTTGGACCCACTTGAACAAGCAAAAGTGGATTTAGTTTCTGCTTACACATTAAATTCAATGTTTTGGGGTATGTATATTACCTTGAAGTTAATTAGAAAGCAAATTATTTATTGTGTCAAAGGTGATTTATTTTTTAAATGCTAGCAATTTATATACAATTACACTTTATAACAATTTTAGTAGTCAGATATTTATTTCTTTTAAATCAGTATACCAGATGCCTACGAGGCAAACATAATTTAACATTACAAAGAAGTTGAATAATTTAATATTTAATCATTTGTGTGACATTTCTTTTTTGTGAGTAACCAGAGTTTCTTCAATGAATATATTCACATTTTATTCCATTAATTCTTTCTCTTATAGTTTATTTGGCAACTCAGGGAGTTAATCCTAAGGAACATCCAGTAAAGCAGGAATTGGTAAGATTGCACTGAGTTCCTTTTTATTTTATGTGGCTGTTTATTGTGGTAGTTCTGAAGTTAGTCATAGTACTTTTATCACACTAATTTTGGAGAACAAAATTATTTAGATTTGAAATTATGAAAGTGAGCTAGATTTCATCTGTCTTTAGGTTTTTCTTTTTCTTACCTTTGTCAGAGAATTGGTGTTCTGTATATTATATAAATCTCTGGATGGGAAAATGTTACGATTCTAGTAATTATTTATAACTTTCATATTATTTTATCTATAAATTCTTGAAATCCTGTTCATCTCTACAACTGCCTTTTTAAAAAACTCTTATACAATTCTTGAAAGTATATTCTAGTTGATTTACTAGCAAAGACGGGAAAGTTTCTCCTCCACCTTTTCAATTCTTCCATTAATTCATTTTCTCAGCAGTAAAGAATCCAGTTCAGTAACAAAGCTAAAAGCTTTTTTGGCACCAGTTGTATGTGTACTGTCCAGTAATTCTGCATTAGTGACATATTTACAACCTGTAATAAATCTTCTGGGTTTGTCTTTGTATTCCATTTAGATGTATAAGTACAGTGTATAAGGTCTGGTATCTTGGAGTTTTTGCTGACTTTGAAAATTAAATCAAATCATCCAATTTGAAAGAAAAAATTAGAAATCAAACTTATGGTTACCTTCTTGACTTGGCTTTATGAATAAGAATATTAATAAATTTATTCTTTGTTTATAAAATATAAGGTAAATATAATGTGAAATACATTTGACACTATTATTGTTCTCAAGTCTTATCGTGGTTGATATGTGTTATTTATAACTTCGCACTTGGTCATTTATATTTTAAAAGATGAGTAAACCAGATCTCTGTCTTCATTTTTTAAAAGTGGGGACTAAGGCATTTCTTCTTTTAAAGTTCTTGGGGGAAAAATCAATTTATTTTTAAATACAGAAATTGTGAAAAATACATAAAGCAAAAATATAAAGTAGTGTCGTACACAGGTCCTGATTTGACCAGTGATACTAGCTTTAAAAGTGATATGTTCTGAAGAAGTATACATTGTATCATCTGTTTCACTTTCTAATATGGACTTTACATTTATAAAATTACCTTTTTTTTTCCTTTATCATGCTTATTTGGAGTATTTTAATACTTGATTCTGCCATCGGAAAAGGACAAAATTATCTGTCTTTCTCCTTCAGAGAACCCCCTTATGGAGGAGTATATTCATATTCTGGACAAGGGTTTGCAAATAAAAAGCATACCTGTTTTCCTTTTCTGATCTGTGACAGGCATCACTGGTTGATCACAGAGTAGTATATGAGAGGAAACCATACATATCATGAATGAGGAAAGGCATTGAAAATAGTTTATTCATTTTACAACTATTTGGGCACCTACCTACTGGTAGCCAGGCATTATTTCCAAGTGAGATGATTCCTCTGTGAATAAAGCCAATAAGTATTCCTATTTGGGCAGATGACAGACTATCTAGTGGAGGGAGACAAACAATTAACATAATAAAACAAACAATAAATATGCAATATGTTAGAAAGTTATATGTTATGGGAAAAACATAGTGCAGGTTAAGGGGGATTGAGTGCATAGGTAGGATTGCTACTGCAAGAAGGGAAGGCAGGCCTTTTAACAGGGTTAACATTTGAGAAGATTGGAAGGAAGAGAAGGGTTAGTTGTGTGAATATTTGAGGGAAGATATTCCAGGCAGGGCCAGGTGTGTGTAACGAGGACTTTGGCTTTTATTCTGAGAGAAACGGAGCCATAATAGAGTTTTGAGCAGAGTTGTTAATCTTTTACAATTAAAAAATTCTAAGGTTCTGCATTTTTCTCTATATTTTGATTATTTTAATGAAAACTTGCTTTGAAGCATGATCAGTCATTTACTCTGATATTTTATGGCTCTCGTTATCTTTATTTCTCCAGAATACAGAATAGCCCTTTATTCTGATTAATGGCCTCAGGAGATTCAAAGTGGTATGGCAACCTATTACGTTTCTCACCTTGTAAAGTCTGATTAGAACTGTATATCTCATTAGAAAATATGTGCTTATCAGTCAAACTGTGAAATTGAATAAAAGATCTTACATTCTCATTCTCATTTTAATTGTCGTACTAGAAGGTAACATAAAAGACTAAATACTGCCTCATTTATTCCCTGTTTAGAAAATTTCAAGAGAGTTTAGTTTGTATGTTGCAAGTATGTGAGAGCTCTGTTTTAGATTATACAGTTCAGATACATAAGAATATGTGCATTTAGGCTAATGCTAAATTAAAAAATGTATAACCACATATAAACAATTCAATGTTTATCTCTAATAGTGATGTCCTAGACTAGTTCTTCCTCTTTTGAAACACTCAGAACACTTCTGAAATGACTTTTAATGTCTGTATTCCTTGCAGACTGTGAATTCCGGGAGAGCATGAAACATATTTATCCTGTTCACTTGTACTTACTAGCACCACTCAATAGGTAGTAAATACATATCTGCTGGATTTAACTGATGTGTAGTATAATAAAACTTGGTGGTGAACAGCTAGTAAATCTATTGCCTTTTTTTTTTTTTATCTTTAAGGAAAGAATCAGAATATACATGAACAGAGTCAAGGAAATAACAGACAAGAAAAAGGCTGGCAAGCTGGACAGAGGTGCAGCTTCAAGATTTGTAAAAAATGCCCTCTGGGAACCAAAACCTAAAAATGTGTCCAAAGTTGCTAATAAAGGAAAAAGTAAAAATTAACCTTTTGGTTTTGATGTACATGTATTCAAAAAGTACTTCACTTTTATTGTTTTCCACACAATAGGTGATTATGTAACAATGTAAGGTTTAAATGTATTCTTTATTGAATTCATATATAAAATTTATATTTTAAATTTGTAATGCTAAATACTCCCCCTGCCCAGGAGGATTAAGTTATTGTTACTGATTTTTTTTTTTACTGTAGTGCACTATGAGGTCTTTAACATTGTTTTATACTATATATTTTATCATCTCTCTTGACAAGACTCTTATTTCCTTATAAAGGTCAGTCTTTCAAGTACCATTATATAATCAACTATGAAATTTAAGTTAAATGTTCCATGTAAACATTTGTCTATTTTAAATGAATAATGACTTTATGAAGTATGCTATCTGAAGGTTGAAGTTATAAATATACTGGTTTTCACTGTATAATAAGAAAGAATGAAATGTCTGGGTTTTTTTTTCTATATAGTTACTTCATGTTTTCATGGTTTGGGGAATTACTGCTTTTTTTTGATATTTGAAGTGTGAAATGAAGACGTTAAGGTTTTACTTTAATTCTTGGCACTTTGCTTCTATGTCCCATCTAAAGTAAAATATATTCTCATTAACTTTAGATGGGAAATGAGGTTCTATATTGATGGCTGAATTTGGCATGATGGCTGTATACCCTGTCAAAAAACTGTGAATATTGTGTAGCTAACCTGGTTATTCTTATATTTGAGTAAATTTTGAAATTAGAAAGATAGGTTTTAGAAATCATTAGTAGAGAAATTCTTGAGTTTTTGTTCCTGATGCATAGTGCTCACAGTTCTCATGCTCTTTTTAAATCATATGGTTACATGTTTTTAAGGCTATATCAAGTACATACAGGTGTTCAGGAACAACATTCTATATTAAATAATGCCATTAAGCAGAGGAGAAATCCAAAGAAGATATATTGTGTTTATATTCTGTTTTATTTTTCTGCAGTATTTGTGAGAGAATTCTAAATACTAATTTTTTTTAAATGTCTAAGCCCATGAGTTTTAATAATATTGTCCTTAGTGCTTTCAGCCTTTGAATCTACACCAGTATGTGTAGGAATGCCAAGTATGGTAAAGTGCTTCAATTTTTGAGAAAGAAGTTGTTAAAATTTTCTGTGTGATTAATTTTCCATAAGTAACTTTGAATAAGTGGATTTCTTGATTTATGGTAACAGATATTGGAAATGGTCTTAAAATGTAATGGATTTTGTAAAGCATGTTGAACTCATTCTGTAACATATGAAGAAGTCACTGATAGATGCAGAAATTCTTCTGGCTCAGCTGTCAGACAATATTTGAAGTGGGTAGTTATTTTTACTTCTTTTTTCATCTTTATCCTCTCAAATTTCTAGCTTTTTTAAGAAAGTCACCTCTTCATGGGAGAAATAAATGTTATTAAGATAAGTGTAGTGTACGTGTGGCCTCGTGTTATTTATTCCAAAGAAACTTGTAACTTGTATTTCTGTATATTTTCTAATTTCATAAGGAAAAGTTAAATGAAAAATGTCATACAGTTGCAGAAAATCATTAGCCAAATTATTGGTTTGTGAAAGTCCAACTTTTCTGTTGAATTGGAGATCCTTAGGTGAATAATTCTTTCAGTGTTTATTAGTAGAAACAAAAAATAGTTTGGATATATTTTATTTTAATTGTCATTTAAAATACAACTTAGCACATAACAAGGAGCTGAGCGGTAGTAGTGCATTGGGCTGCTCATTTGTTTATTCAGTCACTAATATTTAATGACATTTACATTGCTAAGTACTATGTTAGGTTCCAGTAAGACAACTCCAGCTTCTATTGTATTTTGTAAAGTGTTATGAAAAAAGTACTCTTTTCGTTCAGTTCAGTTTTCAGAGTTAACTGGAAAATTTATGACAATTTGTGCTCATTAACCTTAATCAGAACCATAAAGGTAGTGAGTTGATCTATTTGACTATGGTACAGTTATTGTTAACATAGTTTGTTCTAAATGACAGTCTGCTCTAAGTTTAGATGTTAATTATATCTTTTATTAATCTCTTTGGGAATTAACAAGTTGGATAGGTTATAGCTATAGATATTTTTAAGATTAGAATTATAGACTATTAATCTAACACTAAATAATGAGATTCTGTCTTAATATTATTTTAAGTACAATTTTTTTCTTGTTCATAGTTTTAGGCTGGGAATTCATTTTAGTAAAGTAGAATATGTTAAGAGGAAAATTGAAGCTTGAATTACGGCTTACATTCCTGGAATTGGGAGGTTATGGCAAGTTGATTGGTTTTTAAGATACCCTGCAGATTAAAAAATTGTTCTACTTAGCTATTAGAAATGGAATAGTATTATTCCAAAATAAGCCTTTTAAAATTGACTAGAAATATAGGAAAAGCTTCAGAAATGGACATTGTATTGAATATAGATACTTTTTTGTTAAATAGGTCATCAGAGAAAAATGTTTTAGGAATCACTAAGTTTATGATGTAGTCAAACTATAACTTTATGAAATGTCAGAAATTCTGGCTTTACAAAGTGACATTAACCAAGAAAGATTTGAGCAGTGATTCTGATACGCATCCAAGAGCTAAGTGTGGTATATAAAGGGAAGAAAAAGAGGCAACCATGTCTCATTTCCTCATCACATAATAAATTTGCTCAGGTAAGTTTGGTGGCCTTTTTACCAAATGACCTTGGTGGCAACTTATTTTATATGAATTATATCAATGTACTTTACTAATAAAAATATTTCCTCTATATCCTGCTCTAAAACTTTCCAGTTTTGGAAAAACAAACCATATTTTGTTTATTTTATATATTAGCATTTTATACTTGTCATTAAAAATTACATTAGGGGGAGAAGTACACAGGACTTTATAATAGATTTCTGTAGATTTGTTCTACTTGATTAATTTATTATATTGCTTGTGAGTATCTGACTTGATGTGCCTGTTTAAAGTGTTTATCATAATTATGGCATAATTTTTAATATAACCAGGAAGAGTAGAAGACTAGTCAGAAAAGGGGATAGTTAGAATGATATCTGTTGGCAACTGAGGTTTAATTATAATTTTCCCCCCTCAATCCCAACCCACAAAAGGCCAAAAACCAAAACCAACATAGCTTTCATATTACTCATTTGATCATAAAAGGTTGAGAAAAGATCCTAGCCCCCCTTCCCCATAAACCTTGATGTTAAGCGAACGTATCAGAATAACTGCATGCAAGGTGTCAGTTTGGTAAAGTGATATATTTCAGACAGTATACAAAATTTGATGGTGGAAAAATAAGCTTTTATAAATGAAACATTTAAGAGACTTTTATTATTTGCTATCAGGTTTGTGTTTCCTTTAAGGTGCACCATTTCAGTTTGGCAGCTGCAATAAATGACTGAAAGAAATTGAAGATGATAATTCAGCATTTCAAGATGCCTCTGCTGAAATGAATATAGACCAATCCAGAGCTTGAATTTAAAGTTTATAGTAATACAGTATTTTAAAGCCAAGTATGCAGGAAATTCATGGTGATAGGATTTGAATGAGATGATTAGGAGAAATAGAAAAGAGTATCTTCAGTTCCTTATTATGTGGCTGTTATCTATTGAGAGGTTATGTTGAAAAATGTTACTGTAAGAACAGAGGCTTGTTATAAACAATTTACTACAGTGCACAATTCATCTTGGATCTTGTCCAAAGAAGTTTAGTTATTAAAGTAACAAAAGAATTATTACAACAAGAATTACCTCTGAGTTAGTGCTGTAGCAGTGGATTGCCTATACACCCTGTTGTAATGTATCTGGCTGATACTGTTTCATTTACTGACCTTTGTTTTCTCTAATAATGGATTCCTTGACTTAACTTCAATTTATAAATCATCTACTATCCTATTTCTGATCATTTCTTCCCTATTATTTTTCCATCAAGCAAGATATTACTAAAAGTATGTTAAAAATAGTTGCTGGGTTTTGTGGGTCTTCCTATTTGTGAGTTTTAACATTTGTGACTATGACTATTTGTGAGTGACCTTTGAGGTCCAGGGGGGTATACAGTATTTCTTATTTACTGCTAAATCCCACATAGGTAGCTTTTATTCAGCTGATGATTTAACCTAGCTAACTTCTCAGCAACCACAACTTTTTTCCCTAGTTGCAGTCTCTTCATTTATTCACTCACTCATTCATTCATTCATTCAATAGTTACTGAGCTCCTGTGTGCCAGGTTCTGTAATAGGTGTGCAATTTAAGCAGTTACCTAAACAGTGTGTAGTGATTGGAAGATGTCAAACTTCATCATGTGAAAAATGGCTGCTATTGGTTGAATTATGGTCCCCTCATGCATGTGTTGAAGTCTTAACTTTCAGTACCTTATAATGTAACCCTATTGAGAAATAGGATGTTTGCAGATGTAGTTAGTGGGATGACATTAGGGTGGGCCCTAATGCATTACCACAGGTGTCCTTATTTAAAGGGGAGGTTTGTCCATTTTTCTCCTTGTTCAAGGGGAGCCCCATATGAAGATGAAGGCAGATTTCCACCTATGCTTCTGTGAGCCAAGGAATGCCAAGGATTGCCTGCAAACCACCAGAAGCTAAGTGAGGGGCATGCAACAGAACTTCTCAGCTCTCAGGGGGAACAAACCTTGCCAGCGCTGAGACAGTACATGTTTGTGTAAACCACCCAGTTTATGGCTCTCCAGCAAGCTAATACAGTTGGCCACTAGAGGAGAGCAAATAAATGATTAATAGCTTGGATATGAAAGTACGTGTAAGAAACAGTGACAGAAGATGAAAATGTAATTTTGAAGAAAGGCAGGAACCTTTGTAAAACTTACTGAGGAATATTTTTGTATGTGGGCAAAGATCTCAGGACTTAGACCATGAAATACTCTTTCTGAAGCCCAACTGTTCAGACTTTTCTAGCAGACATTGTCAGTTCTCATTGAGCGTGCCATCTTTTAAACTTCATTTTGGTTTGAAGAAACTCATTTTCCTGTAGGAAAGAGAACCCTGTCAGGGGTCTGTGGAGGGGAGATTTTCACCAGTCCTGTAACTACTATGTACCATGTGGTCTTTTCCTAGTATAATGCAGTGGTCAGGTTAAATAAGTACTTAAAACATCTCACACAAGTTGCATATAATTTGTGCTCATCCAAGAGTATACAAACCACTTAAATACGTTCATCTGGATAGAGGTGTTTTTTAAAAAAAGTCTTAAAATTGTTTTTTCCAACTTTTTAACTGTTACATATGTTACTAAGTTTTCTTTCAAGTTAGGTATTAGAGAACTCAGAGGTTGGTTTTTACTCTTAATGATTTGGGCCCTGTTTAATTTTTTTAAAAGTCATGCATAGCTGCTTACTAATTCTCAGTTTTTAGAATCTACCAGTAGGTTCAACATGGAAGGTAACAATGTAAAGAAAATCAGCCTTGACAGAATAAAAGAAAAGTGTAGTAGACAGAAGTGAGTTTGAAACGGGGAGGAGGGGAGGACATCCTCGTATGGGGGAAGCCTAGGGGCAGCCCAACTGTGATGCATGAATGTGGTTTTATTTTAGTCATCAGGGTAACAGCTATCTTCTTTTTAATTCTTCCATCAAAAACTGGAAGGAGTAGAAGTGGAGTCATATAAATTAAATCCTCATTTTTAGGATGGGGAGTTAATAGATGAGGTCCAATGAAAAGCAGCAATGTAGGTATGCATTAGAAGGTAATCATGAGTATTAAAGAAATTATTTAAAAGTAATAAACCTTCATGAGAGCAGAGGCGAAGTGGGAGCACAGATTTTTGTTTGTTTGTTTTGGTTACATACATGATTTTTTTTTGGTAAAAAGAACTGATAAGAAAGTTGTACTGATTAGCAACATTTGTTCAAAGCAGCAGCGTGACAATGGGATAACCCAGTGAAATAACCTTCATTTTTGAAATGTTAGACAATAAATAAAACTCTTCAGTGATGGGAAAATAATAGAAGAACGCTTACATGTGGTAGTACGTATTTCATTGTCTAAAAAGAAACTATATAAAAGTGTCTGCAGGCATTTAATAATGTCCCTACATTTGGGCCCAGTTTATTTTTATTATAATTTTAGACAAGTTGCTTTCCAGATATAGCTAGAAAATAAGAATTTTTACTTGAAAGTGGCTTTCTTCCTAATCTGTCTGTCATGCTGTTTTGAAACTTGTAAATATTACTCAAGATAAAATTAGACACAACAACAATAATAGGTAATGTGTAAGTGAGTGATCTTTATGTGAATGTCGTAATACTGCTGCATAGGAAGATGGATTTTATTTTACTTAATTTTCATTAAAGGCTAGTTCTTAGGAAACAGTTATTTTTAAGATCTGTTTTCTCATTGCAATCTAGATTTTAATTGATTGTTTAGTATCAGAAGTTATACATGTCAGCAAAAGGTAAAGTTTTTTAGGATT